AGAGAGGCAGAGGGGCAGAGGCAGAGGCAGAGGCAGAGGGGCAGAGAGGCAGAGGCAGAGGCAGAGAGGCAGAGAGGCAGAGAGGCAGAGAGGCAGAGGCAGAGAGGCAGAGGCAGAGAGGCAGAGGCAGATGGATCTCTGTGAGTTCGAGGCTAGCCTGGTTTACAGAGTGAGTTCTAAGACAGCCAGGACTACACAGAGAGACCCTATCTCAAAAAATCAAAATTAAAACAAAACAAAAACTCTATATACAGCAGGGCTCAAATACATCTTCAGAGCTGAACCACTAGGGGGAGCTCAATTTCCCCCTGAAGTGCTCTCCAGCCGGCAAGCACAGACTAAATGTCAACTTAAATAAATTTACTCCGAGGCATTTTAAGTTAAAGAACAGAGGTACAGAATAGAGACACTTTTATATAAGTATGTATTTTTTTGGAGTAGATATGGGTTTGTATGTATATAACACTACTCTTTAGAAACTTCCAAAAACAGTAAGGGCATCCAACAAAGAGGTTCTGAGGGCTGGTGACAGTAATGAACGAGACTTCACTTGGTTACCCACCCATAAACTTGAATCACTCTCGTGCACATACAATTTCAAAAATAGAGGAAACATACATTGTGTTTTGGAGTCAACTACACATAAAGACATTTTTGTTGAAGGGGAATGAAAAATAAAGATAAACCCTAGTTCCTTTCCTGTCTCTGTAGGTCACTGCTGTCTTTGCCTAATCTAAGTCTGCTACACTGCAGTTTAAGTTTTTGGCCCTTCATATTATTTTACTCATTAGTGAGTGAATCATACCTGGATAAGTGACTGTGTCTGTGAGTAGAAGATACAAAATTAGAGTCTCTTTATTTAAATTCCTCATCAACACGCTTTCAGTTAGCAGCCTTGTCTCTATAATTGCCTCTGGCCCTCACTCTCTGGAAAAGAGTTGTCTTAGGTCTCTAACAAGAAACATGTCATCAGTTCGTTTCTCATTGTTTAATAAGGGTGAGGAGGAGTTGCTTACCTCAAAGGCAACTTGATCTAGACTTTACTGTTCAAGGAGATATGTAGACAAAACTAAAGTCGGAAACAAAGTTCCACCGAAAGCTGGAGGAAGAGCGTGACCCTCAGCCTCTGAAGACATACTGAGGAGTTTTGTCTCCACTGTCCTCTGGTGGCAGGGACAGCACCAAGGCCTCACATACCGTAACCAGGCAGTGCTCTAACTCAGCTACATGTCTAGCTGAGATGAACTGGGTTTTAATGTTAACAGGAGTACTTGAGGTTAGTTATCCTTCACTCTGGTTATAGTTATAACCTTTTATTTATAGTTATAAATAAAAACATTAAGGAGCAGTGAGCTGTGTTAAAACTATCTTTGGAAACGTGTGCAACCTGAGATGAGTCTCAGACACTGCACTGGAGACCTCAGTGTTCTGCACACACGTCCTCATTCACAACTGCAGACAGTGGCCACAGCTACTGTGCCCAGGCTGGGGGATGTTTAGCAGCATGCCTCACCTCTGCCCACTACCTACTAGCAGCATCTTCCTAGCTGTGAGGACAAAAATGTCTCCAAAGATTGCCAAATGAACCCTAGGTGAAAAACTATTTTAGAGACAAAGAAAGCAGAATTACAGAGATGTTCTTGTGAGCGTGAGCGTGTATATTTGTTTTCCTTAGACTTGGGATAAGTTTCTAAAGTGTTCAGCAATTAAACCAATTTTGCAGATTACAAGTGAATATTCTATGTAATGTGTAAATCCATGCACCACTGGGCATAGCTTAGTAGAATAAGAAACTTTGACAAACAATTACCAAAAAACTAAATGTGTTGATTTTTCAATGGTCTTTCAACCCAGCAGAAACAAAAGTCAACAATATTAAAAAGCCTTCATCTAAGTTATATATTTTCCTAGATTTATCTTTATTTTGATAGAGGATACTAGTACCTTCAAGAAGTGGGAACCACTCGGATTAGTGGTAGCTCCGAATCATAAACCTGAAACACTTGTGTTACAGAGAGTAAAAGAAAATAAGCCTCATTAAAAGAGCATTCAGACAAAGCAGTGACAGCTGTGGGTGTCCTGGTCCTGCAGTGAAACCGCTGAAGAGCCGTGGGGCTGTGCGGTCTATCTCATGGCCACGTGAGTGGTGCTCCGGGGAAGATTTACCGATCCTTAGGACTGATCTTGATAATCTTCTTAACAACGCCACTGCGTGCCTTCTAGACCAACTTAGTAAGCGCGGGCTACTTACTTCCAGTGAAGGCTATCCATCGAGCATACTTTGTAGCTTCTCTTCGCCAGTGGGAAGCCACCAGCAAACCACATGTGACAGTCAAGGAAATGATTCCCATGATGATAAAAAACAGGGTGGTGACCCACTCTGGGGGAAGCCGGGGAGGGATGCAGGTCCGGTCGCGTCCATGGATTGTTTGACACTGCCGCACTAGGCCCACAGTGAGAGCTCCTGGGAAGATGCAAAGGTGGGGGACACTTCAGTAAGTCTGGCACACCCAGGGGCTATTCCCCACAAGACCTCTTTCATACTTAAATCCTGTTGGTATCGTGGGGGTAATTCAAGCATTTAATTCGGGAGTTCTCCTCAGCAGTCTGGTGCTGTTTATAATGTGACAATGCCTGGATTAATGTAGAAAATGAACATAAGCACAAGAACAAGCCTCCAGAACCATAAAAGACAGTGAATTCCATCACTTATTGAACAAATGCATTTCTTTTTGTCACGACAGTTTTTCTACAGTGACCAGACAGACCATAGTCCAGGTTAACTGGACACCATCAGGAATCTGCCTTCTAAATGTTTTTTTCAAAGTACAAGTGTCAGGCACTGATCTGGGCTCCAGAGAAACATCAGCAAAGTTGCTGGCTGAGGCTTATGCCCTTCTTGAGCTTGCACACTGGCAGCAAGAGCTGGGTTTTTCTCCTTCTGGATTCAAGACTCACTGTACTTTATTTTGGCTGAGGAAGAAGTATGTATAGGAAATTAGACACAGATTTGACATATACCTAATGATAATATCTAACAGGAAATAATGCATTAAACACTCAGGTGAACGTTATCAAAAGTAAAAGGTCTGGCTCACCATTATTATTATACAAGAGTTAACACTGCTGCACCCTTACTGGCATGTATGAACAGGAAAACAAAAGTTATGAAGGCAAGCCGTAAAGTACCCTTGCTATCCTTAATTTTAAAAAACCTTTATTGTTACTATGATATTAATCTGTAGAGCAGTGTGAAAGAGAAAGTGATTGTGGTGTGTGTGTGTGTGTGTGTGTGTGTGTGTGTGTGTGTGTGTGTGTGTTTGCATGGGCAGGGAGGCTGAGAGCAGCTTGTGGAGCTGGCTCTCCTTTCTATTTACCTGGGTCCTGGGGATCAATCACACTCTGTGGTTGAGCCTGAGTGCAAAAGCTTTAACCCTGAGCCCTCTTACCGTTCCCTCCCATTCAGATAAGTGAACTGACTTCTGTGAAGCACCAAGTGCCATTTGGAGTGAATTATTTTAGAGAAACCTGGATTTGGAAGGTAAAAGACTACTTTCTCTTTTTCCACACAAAGAATTAAAATTTACTTCCAAATAAAAGCTATCCCCTCAGCAAGAATGACTGCAAATAGGGAGCAGCTACCAAACCATAAGTGTAAACCCGAAGAGCCGCTGAAGACAGCAGATTCCTGCCTCTTTTGGGGGAAGGGGTGTCTTTCTTAGCTAGCCTTTTGTTTCCAATATGAATAGTCCCCTCCCCCTAGTCCACAGTGACACTCCCTCAGAATCATGGCACTTGCCAGGAACAGGGCCTTCTCAAGGAACCGGGGCTGGATTTGTCTGTACAGAGTGTGTGGGTAGGTGGGCTTCTTAGAAGGGGTGCTTTGTACAACTTGCATCTTTCCATCAATCCAGTTTTAGAAATAAAGCATGTGATAAAAAGAGAAACATGGGCTGGAGAGACGGCTCAGCTGTCAAGAGCACATATTGCTCTTGCAGAGAACCCAAGTCGAGTTCCCAGCACCTACTGTAGGGTGCCTCACAACTGCCTGTAACTCCAGCTTCGGGATCTGAAGCCCTCTTCTAACCTCTGTGGATAACTGCACTCACTCCTACAAGGACACACACATACAAACACACACACAAACACAGGCATCTAAACTAAAAAAAAAAAATCTTAAAAAGTAAAGTAGGTCTTGGGAGAGAGCTCCCTGGGTGAAGTAATTGCTGAACAAGCCTGGGGAGCTGGGTTTGGCTCCCTAGATCCTACTAGGGACAAAACAATACCAGTCTGCAACCCTAGTGTTGGAAGGTGGAGACCAGAGGATTCTGCTGTCTTGCTGGCCACAGCCTAACTGAATCTGTGACTGCCTCAGTGAGAGGTCCTGTCTAAAAAACAAACAAACAAACAAACAAACAAACAAACAAACAAACAAAAAACCTAGCAAACTCATATGCACCTTTCCCACACCATACACATGATCAAAACAAAACACTAAAAAAGATTTAGAAAAAAAGGGTGATGAAAAAGTTCTCTCAAAAATGAGTTATGGGGTGGAGGGATGGTTCAGTGGTCAAGAGCACTGGCTGCTCTTTCAGAGGTCCTGAGTTCAATTCCCAGCAATCACATGGTGGCTCCCAACCATCTACAGTGGGATCTGACACCCTCTTCTGGCATAATGCAGACCGAGCACTCATATACGGAAAATAAATAAATTTAAAAAAAAGTTACGGTCTCCCTCTTCTGCAATGCTAATTCTACCTGGCCAGAACTCTGCGAAGATAAACAAGCTGTGCTTTGTCTTTGAAATCAAATAATTAAGTCCGTCTGACGAGTCCTGCACAGGCGCAGGCAACACGGGAACAACGACGGGCACTGTCACGGCAGCCGGGGACCAGAGTGAGCAGCAGACCTTCACAGGTGCCGTCCACAGGCCCCCGCTGCTGCATGGGACCAGAGACTACTTACAAAGAGTAGGCACCAGGGGTCACATGACTGCCCAGACAGTCAGAGTTGACTTTGAATGGTGAGTTGAGGTGGGGCAGAGCCTCACTATGATAAAGCATTATAGTGTAACTCTGGAAATAAAGAAGGTATTCACAGCTGTGCCCACAAACTCCTAACGGGAAGCCACTCCTGCTCATTCAGCAAAGAGACTTCTAACAAACTACTCTCTTGTAGTGGTAGTTCCATTTCTAAAAGCTGAATGGTAATGATGAAAGATACTTGCACAAAATGCAACACTGTGGATGTCTATTATGGAGGCAACGGTTTTCACAATTCCACATACAAAAGAAGCCTGACTGGCAACTCTCCACACCCACTAACGAGACCTGCACTGAGGATTATCTTGTGCCTCCAAATATTAAAATCCTGTGCAGTGCACAGATTGAAAGTTCTCTCCTTGAGACTCTTCTGAGTACCACTGTGCTTCCCTCTATCTCGGGTTAAGGACAGGTGAGGGTGCCCACTGTGCCTGCTGACTGCCAGGCTTTCTGAGTGACACTTCTTCTTGTCACCTCTCCTATCCACAGCAGCAAATACGAACAGAACAAGCAAGAAACTGAGACTGACAGCTACGAACAAGCTGGAGAAAACCCGATAGATGTTGAGCTGTAGAGGCTCTGCTCCTGTTTTTCTACAATTCCTTAGCACAACAAAGCAAGACTGAATACTCAGCACCTCTGAAGGGAGGCAGACAGGCAAAGCGAGCAAACGTTTACAATAATGTTGCTCACTTGCTGTAACTGCTCTGTAGCTGTCTGCAAGAAAGGCCAGCTAATTTGAATTGGCAATCAGAGGGTATACTGCATAAAAGAACACTAATACCCAAATACAGTTCTGTGTGCTCGGTTTGTGGTCAGTGGTGTGTGCTCAAATGCATGAGGCCCCAGGTTCAATCTCTATCATCCCACAGAGAATCTGCAAGGCTCTCAAATGCTTGGCTGTTAGAACAGCGAGATTCCCAAAACAATACTCTTGTGCTTCCAGTGAAAACAAATTTTCCTCAAATAGAGAAGGGTTAGTGTCAACAGTGGTCAGTCAATGTTGTTATACTTTGCCCTCTGGAGTAAGACTGTAATTCAATAACATTTATGATGTAGTCACACGTAGTCCATAGGCTAACTGGGAGAGTGTGCACAGTTAACTGCTTGGGGATTTAGATTTGGTTAGTGCCCACACTTTGAACAAGCCTTTAAATTTCATCTTTACTTCAGTGAATTATCTGGCCCATCTTTGACTTCCTCTAGATTCTCTAACACAATCTGTCTGCCTCACAGCCACAGCTGATGTTCGAAAGTAGCCTGGAGGGTAGTGTGGTGCTGGATACTGAACGCAGGGATCCTCTAACCTCAGGAGTGGGGATAAAAAAAGAACAGAATGCAGCTGGGCATGGTGGTGCATGCCTTCAATCCCAGGATTCAGGAGGCAGAGGCAGGCAGATCTAGAGGCCAGCTTAGTCTGCAAAGTAAGTTCCAGGATAGTCAGGGCTACATAGAGAAACCCTGTCTTAAAAAAACAAAAAACCAACCAACCAAAACAAAACAAAACAAAAACCCCACAAACAAACAAACAAACAAACAAACAAAATGCCATCATTCTGTTTTCTAGAAATAGAAATGAGAGAGAAAAAATGGTATCACTGGAAAACCATCAAATGGCCTGTAGCAGTAGGTACACAGCAGGGATCAAATGAATTAAAAACAAGCTACAATTAGAACCACACTGCATTCTAAAGGTTCTCTTGAAACACTTGTTCAGTGTGGCTTCTTGTGGCACACCAGATTAAGCAAAAGTCCAACGCTTCACTAATTTTTGCTTTACACAAAGGTTTTTGCCTTTTGAAAGGGCCCGTGACTGCATTCCCCAAGCAGCCAATCTATCTTTACCCTGCGGTTGTTGCCTAGGTAACCAATCCATCCAAATAAAAGATTTATACACAATAGAAAAAAGGAAATCAAACTAGAGGCTATAGCCTTCCACACGCCTCACAGGATCCCTCACACCTGTGTACATCCACACGGAAAGTCACAGGAGTCCCGCTCGCCCACCCGCCTGGTGAGTGTGGGACCTTAACTAAAATTGGCTTTTGAAGCTCATCCTCTGGACAAACTCTCTGAGATGACTGAGCACAGCCAGTCTGGGCACGTCTGCTCCCACAGTGAAGATGATCAGGAGGTATGTCATCACTGTGTTAAAGGCACTGCCACAGAAAATCTGTAACCCAGAGCTGTGAAACCGCACACGCCCACCAGAGCCTGTCACAGGCAAATCATGTGACGTGCCCACCAATCTGGATCTGATCCCTGCCATCAATGTGGATTTCTGGCTTTCTACCAGAAAGCATATTCTTGGCAAGCTGTTTATTGGTTACACACACCAAACAAATGCTTCACCACAAATGTCTTAATGACTGATAAAGGTTCAATTTGTGCTCTTCCAACAGCAGTGGTGTTTAAGGAAGTGACACCACTCCAATTTTAACTGAAAGGATGGAGCTTCTCATTTTATAGACAGCTTGGATGAGGAAATTTAACACAACTCAGGGCAAGTTTGGACAGGCGGCTGGGGCGGGGGGGGGGGGCGCTAAGGCATCTAGGGATGCACACACAGTGCGCCCTCCTGTCACTGGTGCTTCTGGTCTCCGAGCCCTGGACTTTCCTCCCAGCTGTTCTTCCCTATTTCCTCTCGGGTGTCTTCCCCACTGTGTCCTGACTGCTCCTATGTTGAACAGCAGCAGCAGCAGCACAGGCACGGAAGCTTTACCACCTGCCAGCAAGAGTTCCATTCCAAGTACCCATGTCGGACAGCTCAGGGACCCGGCCACTGACGCCGATGTGGACACAGCCCTTAGCCTCACCCTCCTGTTACTCAGGGGTTCAGATATCCTAATACGTGGCTCATTCAAATTGTCTCTTGGACCTATTTGTTCACTTTTTATAAACATCTGTGTCCTAGTGTGAACACAGAAGTAGCAGATGAAAATGACCACTAGCTATGGCTCTGGAAGAAATATCTTGATGATATCCCAGGAACTAGTAAGCACCCCCACCACAGGGCCAAGGGTATCCAAGTATAAACAGATGGAAGCTTTTCCTTTAAGAGAGCACTGCTTGTACAAAGCTTCTAAGCAAATGTTTCAAGTTCAGCTGCTCAAGCACCCAGAAACCACAGCAGCTATAAACCAAGGGACCCAACCTCTTCTGTAACTTAGTGCTGTCTGTCCATGGGACGCTGGTTTTGCAGGCATGCAAAACTGCAACAATTTACAGGATCACTAATGTTTCCATTCAGGTTTCAAAAGAAAGCCTGGGAGGACAGTCAACGTGTGGCATGGTCAGATACTCATGGGAACAGCAACGGGGAAGCTGAAGATGACACAGAAACCACAGGAAGTGGGAGAAGACAGGAACATGGAATGTCTGCCAAGGAAAGCCACAGGAAAGAGGAGCTAGCCCAGCAGAGAGGCCATGTGGGCTTTGACAACTGCCTATGGGGTGGGCTGCCAAGTCCATTGGCACTCAGCAAGTCCAAAGCTATGGTCAGAACTTGCCTGCTGAGTTCCGGTCTTTGTCTTTATTCCTTTCTACACTCCAGTGGCCCTGTCTGTAACGGGAATGAATGCTTATTCTGTGCCACCGTGTATTGTTTTTTTGTTTCCCCCACCCAGAGACAGGGTTTCTCTCTGTAGCCCTGTAGACCAGGCTGGCCTTGAATCCAGAGATTCACTTGCCTTTACCTACCAAGTGCTGGGATTAAAGAAGGGCGCCACCACTGCCTGAAGCTAGACTGAGATGTACCCCGCAGAATAGTAAAGCACACCTCTGGGTCCATTTGTGAGGGAAATTATGGAGACACTAGATCATGAGGACTCTCATCAATGGCTTAATCTGAAAGACCCTCAGGAGGTGTAGAACCTGGTTGGAGGGAATGGGTTCCTGGATAGGCCTCTGAAGGACAGAGCTTCTCTTCTCTGCCTTGAGTCTTAAGTTGAGCAGCCTTGCTCCACGACATGCTCCTGTTGCTTTGTCTGTGACCACAAGCCTAGGGCAATGGAGGATGCTAACCATGGAGGAAACCTCTCCCCATTAAATAATAATAATAATAATAATAATAATAAAAAATAAAAATAATAGAGTAGCATGAACAAACCCTGAAAGCATGATGCTAAATGAAAGAAATGAGACATGAAAGGTCAGATATAATATGGTACCACTTATATGAACGTCATAGTAGATGACTCCAGAGGCAGGAAGCAGACCTGTGGTTACCAGCAGAATGGAGGATTGAAGAGTACTGAGGAAAGCTTACTTTCTATCATTAGATATTTTTTTTTTATTATTTTAGTGTATGAGTGAATGTATTTCTATGTACCACATGACTGCATGTGTGCCCGGAGATCATGGAGGTCAGAAGGCATGGATCCCCTAGAACTGGAATTACCGGCAGTAGTGAGCCACCATGGGTGCTGGGAATTGAACTCAGGTCCTTAGGGAGAGCAGCCAGTGCTCTTAACCACTGAGCCATTTCTCCAGGCCCTGAACTATACATTTTGAAAAGGTGATTTTATCACCCTTCTCAGGCTAGTTTGGACTTCTATTAAATTCAATAGCATGCCAAAACTCCCTCCTGTCCTGTGTAAATTACATTTCCTCTACAGTTCCTGACTAGGCAAACCCATCTTTTTTTTTTTTTTTAATTGTAAAGCCATTGATAGTTTTATCGTTTGTTGTCTTTTTTAAAAGAGAAAAGGTGGGGGCTGGGGAGATGGCTCAGTGGTCCCTATTTCAGAGGGCCATAGTTTGGTTCTCAGCACCCACCTTCAGACAGCTCACAATCATCTAACTCCGGTTCCAGAGGACCCGATGCTCCTGGCCTCTCCAGGTAACTGTCTGTACCCGTATGCACACACCATCCTCTCATGTTTGGCTGTGACTGGCCTGTGTTTTGAGAGAAGTCCCTTCTTAATAATAGTGAAGATCCCTTGCATGTGAGAAAATCATTGTCTTCCTGCTACTTTCAAGATTCCTTTTATGTCTTTGGCTTTCAACTCTTTGGGATGTGTTTAGGTGTGGATAATCTTAAATTGGTCCTACTGGGTTTGTTGAAATTCTTTAATATGCAGGTAAGGCACTTACTCAAGGTGGGGATCTTCCCCCCATTCATTCATTCATTCTCTCTCTCTCTCTCTCTCTCTCTCTCTCTCTCTCTCTCTCTCTCTCCCTCTCTCTCTCTCTCTCTCTCTCTTTCCCCCTCCCCGTCCCCCCCACTGTGTGGACTGGGCACATGTGGTACCACTTCACTTGTCTCCAGTGCCCTGCTCAGTTCCATCATCCTGGTTTCTGCCCCTTGCAGTAGATCACAATCAACATCCTGCTGATTTTTCATTTTGGCTACTGAACTTTTCAACTCCAGACTTTCTACTTTAATGTTTTGTCTTTATCAGGTCACTGTTCACTTGTGGGATATACTTACAATATTTGATTTAATTTCTTTCTCAGCGTTTCTCAACCTGTGAGTTGCAAGCCCCACGAGGATCACATATCAGATATTTACAATTCATAACAGTAACAAAATAAGAGTTATTAAATATCAAGGAAGTAATTTTATGGTTGGGGGTCACCACAACATGAGGAACTGTATTAAAGGGTCCCAGCATTGGGAAGGTTGAGGACCATTGCTCTATCTAGAGAGTCAAAGGCTGGGATTCCTCAGACAGTTTCTGCTGACTGCTTTTATTTTTTTCTTCTTTATGAGCCATAATTCCCTGTTTCCTTGAGTGTCTTATAGTTTTCAGTTAAAAATTGGAAATTTTAGCCAGGTGGTGGTGTATACCTTTAGTCCCAGTACTTGAGAGGAAGAGCCTGCTTTAGATATAGCAAGTTTGAGGACAGTCAGGGCTACATAGAAAGATCCTGCCTCAAAAAACAAAAAAACCACCACAAAAGAAGAAAGGCGATTTTACCTAGCACACAGGATACCATGTACACCAGGCAGGCGATCCTGTGACTTAACTCTTGTTACTGTTTGCTCACAGCCCTGCGGGATAATTGCACAAAGTCTGTATCTGTTGGCCTCTGAAGTCTCTCATCCATTAAACTCTTGACTATCAGCAGAGACATCTCAGCCTGTGCTGAGGACTGGTACAGAAGGTAATCTACAACTCTGCCTAGGACTTCACTTCCTGTTTGAGCAGAAATGGAAGGTCAGCGAGAGGTGAAAATGTGAGGTGCCTCTGTATCTCCTCTCTGGGCACATGGACAGCCTGAGGATGTTTGTGGTCTTCTAGATTCTGAGGATCTGTGAGAGCTCTTTGAAGACTCCTGTGGACATGTTTTTCATGTGGACATGCCTGTCTGTCTGTCTGTCTTTTCTTTCTTCCTTTCTGTCAGCTTTCTGTGATCTTCAACTGATGAAAGAACTTTAGGTACCTCCTGTGTTTCAAATAACTTGGCTGCTGATTGTATTTAACAAATGTCATGTGGTCAAATAAAGATAAATTCTGAAAATGGAGATGCTCAGTGAGCCCCCAGACAAATGAAAACAGTAGCAGTTCCCTGGAGCAGGTCTGTAAGGGTGATGCTCTGCTCTCTCAGCTCATTACGGGGCTGCTTGTTTTCACAGCTCCAGGGCAGACATGGAGAGGACGGCAGCGCTCACTTTAAACCACCACAGAGCTTGCTGTTCGTACTGAGTAAGTCCTGCTTAGGATTGTTTCAAGACTTTGATGTCCAGAGTTCGAAAACTGACATTTTAGTTTTATTCGTTGACTTAGCCACTGGTCTTGCTGCTTTTATAGAGAAACAGCTTTTTGAAGGTTCTTACTCTCCTGTTCTGGAGTTGGACCCAGCTGGTCACAATTGGAACCTAAGCTTTGCCGTTGGCTTGGGCAAATTGTTGAATCTTTTTCTAAGCCTGCTTCTTCAGCAAAGGAATAGAACTTACCATTCAGTTTCTGTGAGAATTAAATAACAAATAATACCCGTGAAGCAAATGGAACTATAAGTACTGAAAACTTATTGGGTAAGGGAATTAGGTAAACTTTTGTTTGGGTTAATATATTTTACACACATACACACACACACACACACACACACACACACACACACCCTCAAACATAGCAGGTAGCAGACATCCTAATTTAACATAGCAGTTTACTTAGGAATCTAGCATTCCAAAATAAAAAGTTGGCCATATGATGGTTGTAAGGTTGCTAGTCATTAAGGAGGAGCCAGCTATATTCCTGTCCTAACTACTCTGCTGGATCATTCGGGCTGAAGACTACAGAGGCATCAAGTTCAGACTTGCTACAAAAAAAGCTCCGAGCAGAAACTTTCTAGAAACAACAAAGCTAGATGCTTGATATTGTTGTTGAGTAGCAAGCTTAAAAACACAACAAAAAACCAAACCCAGAAAGACAGTCATGGTATGTAC